TAAAGGATAAAGGATAAAGCATTTGCCGTTGATCAATCCCTTTTTGGGATGCGGCACGCATTCTACTTCCATTTGTACATTCGTAGTGGCGTTTGAATGCGATGTGGCCTATACAATGACTTGCGGGGGCCAGCCGATGTACAAGTCAGTGTTTTTATCCTCCCAGACAAGTCTGGTACCAATTAACCGACCCGGAGGGATGGAAGGCTTGGTTGGCCCGGGCGACTCACGACCCAGGATTTGATCCCCGGACCGCTCGCGTGGTAAGCGTGCCACTTGCCACTACACCACTTCCGCCCCCCCAGTTAATGATACATACCTAATATTCAGCCAAATACCGTACATCCTACTATCCTGATATCATATCGCCTACTATCCTAAGCTCCGTAAAGCATGAACGCGGCTAACTAACGGAGGAAATGTTCCGTGCAACATCTCCTGAAACGTGCCTTCAGACAGAATAGACTTGGCCACGTGTCTACTGTTTCACAAATTGTGTGATTCACTCGAAATGATAAGAGCCGGTAGAAGGAATGTCCTCAAAACAAAGTGCACGCCCGTTTGCGATAGCCGCGTACTTAACTACAGTACAACCGAAGGTGTTCAAAGTATTTCAGCCCTGCGTTTCAAAGAGCACAGAATAAAACCCCGTGTTCTTTGTCCTCTTTGTGAACCTCTAACCATAATGTTTCAGCTACTATCTCCTACGCTCTCTTCGTATCCAAGTTCCACCTCATATTGCTCAAATCATCACCACCTCGCAAATGGTTCAGGTTGGGCTCTGCACCTTCTATGCACTATTTTTTGGATATGTATGATAAGAAATGGCTCAAATCCATGCCACGACAGCAGTATCCACAGCTCGTTCGCTTCACGTCAAACGGGCGAGAGAGGAGGTTGAAATTTTTAAGCACGACAGCTGCATTCCATTGGACTCTTCCAGCATCGTGCATAAGCTGAGAGCGAGAGAGGAAACAAAATGGACGGGCTAGGAGTGGGGGAGTACGGAAGGTAACAGGGAAGAAGTACCCTAAGAGCGATTGGAAATGATACTTGTTCAAGAGAAATGTTGGCACATCAGAGTTGGACTTCAGCCAAATGCTGAGAGCAGGAATAAGAAATCCTCGAAAGGATGGGGGACAGGGCTGTATTGACCAAGAAAAGCTCCGTGATGGAACCGCGAAGTGAAGGTTGATACTTCATTCAGCAACGATCCTCAAGGGAGAAAGAGGCAAGATTTAGAAGTGAAAGGAGGATTCTACCCTACACATCTGGTGAATGAAAGAACATCCAAACGGTTCAAATCCAACACTTAACTGTTGTCTGACCATAAGTGAAGTATACCTTGTTTTGATTTTCTTCTCTGCCTCCCCCCCCCCCCCCCTACGTGGTTGCTAACTAGAAATTTTCCAATGGCTTGACGAATCCTCGGCTTCATAGCCCGACCTATCACCGTTTGAGCGGGTTAGTTTGCTACCATGCAAGGTCGTTACTCACCTAAAAAATCGCTTGAAGTCATATAACCAGTTCCACCTAACACCCGCGGGCGCATCAGACAACAAATAAATACTTAACACTAACATGCGAGCGTCGCAAGAAGAGGGAAGCTGGAGGACGCACATATATGGTGACTCCATATAGAGATGATCATGGTCACTTGGAGGGGGATTTCTTCAAGTAGGAGTGTTCGCCGCAGCTTTATAAACATTTAAAGGAGATATATTTAGTTTGTCATCGCCATAGCTGCTCAACTACATGTCGGTTTCCTCGCCGTGACCAGTGGTGGAGACGCTTCGTATGCGGTGTCATTCAGAGGCTGGTCAATTGGCGTGTTCATGCTTGTCACCTATTTGATGCTGTGGATACGGTAAGTGCTGCAATTGCTATGAATTACAGTATTCTGTTTTTGTAGGGCGGAATATCCCCTGAGCGCCACATTCGCACATTCACCGGACGCAACTATTGCGGACATCATTTATTGGAAAATCAGTATACTGGGTTCCGAAAAAAACGAAGTCCCCAAATTTGAAATTCCACGGTTTCGAATGTGCGCTATGATCTTCGATTCATTTGAGAAACCTTCCCCTTTGCGATTGCCGTCAATACTTTCCATTCGACCAGGCATCAAATTTACCTTTTGTTTTCAAGAAATTCCCCAGCTTTCCTAAACCTAGGGGGCGGGGGTAAGCTCACACGGTGCACTTGTTTCCCGATGAAGGATTCTCTGGCTTTGTCCGGTATAGGGTTAAAAAAATGGTTGCTGGTTAACATTCAAACATTCTTGGAGCGATGCCTAATTGGGGACACTACTCACTCCGGCCAGATTTCTCTTTATTCAACTAGGAATGGATCAACTCAAAGGATAAGCTTGTCGAATGTGAGAGAGGGGGAGGGGGGGGGGGGTGGGAAACATCTTAATACTTAATAAGCACGAAGACAAAGAGATCCCGAACGTTCGAAAATTAAAATTCAGTGAGGTTAATGAAAAGTTCCCAAAAAAAACTAGTGAAACCCCAAATAGTCTCTACATATTGATTGCGCCCTGCGCTTTTTGTTCAAAAATAAAGTGCAAATCCAATAAACTATGTCCCTCCCTCGGACGAATCAGACAGACCTTCACAAGAAGTCACTTTATTGGCTCACCCAAACGAAACTGGAGATGTAGACGCCAGGCCTGTAATGAAGGACCATCGCTGATGGAAACTAGGGATTTGAATCGACTGAACACTTATCTGACGATGAGCCGGTGCATAGGTCCGATTCTCAGAAGTCTCTGAGATTTTGCTATGTAACCTGGTGCATGGCTTAATCGTGACTTCGTTATACTGACTTCTTCGGCCCATCGTACTTGAACCTGATACGAAACCCAAGGGTCACGATTCACAACCGGAGAAAGTTCGAACTTCTTGGTAAAAATTCCACGAAAACTTCCAGGTCGCTCTAAACGTTCCATCAAATAACCCAATCTCTGCCATCAATAGCTTTCTCGATCACAGCTCCATTTATTATTGATGAATAATCGATTTCAGGTTTTACAACATCAGCTACTACAGCAAAGGTGGCAAGAAGTATGTGTCGCACGTGAAGGCGGATGGTGTCGCCAAAAAGGAACATTGAATCTCATCATGTGAAGGCGTAATAAATCAATCATAAATACAACGATCCTTTGAAAACGAAGAGTATCCAGAATTATTGCACAGCTTATTGCACGGGTGGGCAGTCGTCGAGATGGACTACGGGATCGGTGCCTCAGTGCACTGAACGGAGTTCACCTTGGTTCCAGCATACTCGACTGAACCATGGCTCCCATCCATACAATTCTGTAGAAGAGCTTCGACAATCTAGAACAGAATACTCGTAAATTGATTGGAAACAGTGGAATAGGTCAGGTATGACGGGTTGCGGGTTTGAAGCCTCGAATCCCGACAACCACATACTTCACTACTCCACTAGAACAGCCATGGGTACTGTACACAGTTGGCGCTGCCGCTGCGTTGAGCGCGAGTCGACCATACTTCTGATCAACCACTAAGTCGACCAACAGGCATTGGAGGCGTGGTCAAAATTTGTAGTCGGATGAGAGAACTTGATCACTTGAGGTACATCACGAAGCATATCGCATCCGAGAGACGCAATTTGGATTATCTGTGTGCAAAACTGGATACCCGACAGGGAATCCGTCACGCGTTGATAAGGCCGAGACGCAGACTGTGTCTGCGACGAGTTCTCGTAGCGGTAGCGTAGCGATACAGTGTCAAGTTCAAAAGAATGTGCTATAGTACGTGCCACGTTGAAAAATACGCCGCTACGACTCGTCCAATGGCCCTTCTGCGTCCCTGCCTTCCCTGCCGCGACGGGCCTCCTGCCGGGTACTCTACAGAGCGATATAGTCAGCGTTTGTGACAGGCACTCAATTCGAGTCGTAATAACTAAATTATTCAAATGGGGCTATCAAAAGTGATTGCGCTCACCTTCATTGACCAATATGATCAACAGATAAATAAATCAATAGTCAGGCAAAGAAATTTGACTAAAGGTTTCTGTTCTCTCGGTGTAGGAGTTGAAACACCGACTCATTTAATTGCAATGTGTGATAGGGGAATTGTCGAAACTGGGATGAATAGGGCTATATAGCTTGAAATAGAAGTAGAGGAGGGAAGAATGAAAAAGGATAGGAAGTTGGGATATCTAACCAGGAAGGTCTTTCAGGGCGTGACGAGCTTTTTGAAAACGGTCTTTTGCATGATATAGGGGCAGATGCGGGGACCACAGAACCATGTTTAATTTTTCCTGAACGGCCCTCTGAATACCAGAAAAGGGGGTCCCTAGTTCGATTCCTCTTGGTGACAATTTTTGCATTTCGAGTTGACGTTCCAAAATTCGCGCAAAATGGAGTTCTGATTGTTCTGGTTGGTTCTAACTCCATTTTGCGCGAATTTTGGCACGTCAACTCGAAATGCAAAAATTTGTTACCACGAGGAATCGAACTAGGGACCTCCTTTTCTGGTATTCAGAGGGCCGTTCAGGAAATTAAACATGGTTCTGTGGTTCCCGCATCTGCCCCTATATCATGCAAAAGACCGTTTTCAAAAAGCTTGTCACGCCCTGAAAGACCTTCCTTCCTGGTGAGAAACGGAATGGAGATACTAAAACCTCTCCGTACGTTCCCCCAGTTCTTCGCTGACACAAGATTTTATTTTTAATTGTAGTAATTAAGACAGAAACCAAATAAATGGTTTAACGCTGCATGAAATAGAACAATTTGAGGCATTTAGAGAACCCTGGTAAGCCACTGCGCAATGAGTTGCTTCGTAACGAAATTACTCACTTGTCCCATGTCCTGATTCTCAGCCGCCACGCCTCGACAATTCGTTAAATTTCCATGAAGTGAGAAGAAACCATCAGCTGGTTGAGCAGTGCAATTATCGCAGTCAATCGTTGAAGCATCCGTTGCTGGATCATTGGTTCCTCCAACCCTTGAAAATATTACTCATGGAGTATCATGAGAATATTTCTGCTGACGCCGATGCGAAGGCAACGGTATAAAATTATCGGGTAATTATGAAAAGAATATAGTCGGCAATTTTTTTTGCGACTCACCGGAAGTCTGAATCGATTCGACCAGGGTCACCATTAGCCGGATCGAACGACACTTGAGATGCTTCACAGCTTTGACAGGCAACTGAAATCGTAATAGTGGTAGCATATGGCAGCATCAGACCCCATTAAAGTGCTCCACAATGAGCATCGGATAAAATCTGCACTTCAAAGCGGCGGGCACGTTGGTCAAGAGGAGGAGCAACGCTCGAACGCCATTGGTGGAAGGGGTGAAGGCGTGGTCAAACTCCTTCCTGAAGTGACCCCCTCAGCGGTTCAACATCTCCGCTGTTAACCGCATATCCACTTCCCCTTTTCTAGAGGCTGAAAAAATTGTTACTCCCCAGGAGCCCGCGCGCGGCAAGAGAGGCAAAGTCAGCAGACGACATCGCGCGTACTATAGGGATTTCGGTCAAGTTGAAGAGAGTGTCCCACCGCACGTCCCACATCGCACACCGCGCGCTGCAACTCGTCCGCCGACTCTGCCTTCTTGCCGCGCGTCGGGCCTCCTGGGGGGTACCCCGTAATAATGTGAACAGAGAGTCACTAAGCGGCATCAGACCACGGTTGAAAAATCTCACTGTTCACCTCTGGAGCTCAAGTACCTTAGGGGAGAAGATTCTCAATCATAGGTATGCCGAATAGATTAGTGCGCACGCAGATGAGACTTAAGGAAGCACAGCCAAGGTACATGGAATCGAACGAGTGATTTTGGAAACTATTATCCCATTTCCACTCCGACAGCGGAAAGCTGACCATGGAGGAGGGGGGGGGGACGCTTGCTCGAGTCCAAATTGAACAATTTAAAGTGTTGTTATGGAAAATTTTTAGTGTGCAAAACTAGGGGAAGTATGCTGATTTTTGATACAGTAGGTGCGCAATCATGAAATTCTGTGATAATCTATACGACTAAACTCTGGGGGGGGGGGGGGAAGGGGAAAAAAACGATGTGCAAAGAATTTAATTTGCACAACGTCCTAATCCCGGACCCCCCCTAGTCCTTCAGCTGTCTTACAGCTCGAAAGCAAGAGATAATCGTAATCACCTAAAAAATGACTAGCTATGACGATTATGCAAAATTGAAGAGATCAGCCTCGTAATAGTCATTGCGTACATTGTGCGCCTATGGCATTCAGCACACCCGACCTCCCCCCCCCCTCCTCCTCGCCCGCATAGTTTTGCACTGAAATTCCTAGCATGGATGAAAAATGACACTGTACAAAAATTGAACCAACAAAAAAGCAATCATTGTCGTGGTATTTGTCTAAAGAAGAGCGGATCGATTGAAAGTGCCGTTCACGGAAAATTTGGTCTTTTCCTCCGTCTAAAAATGGATTGACCGTGATCACTGCAGATCACATGTGAAGTTTTGCATCATGGAATCGGATTTTTTGGACGAAGTCTTTTGGAAATTCGCATACGTATATGAACTTTATATGCAAGCCCGAAATAATTTTATACACAGGCCCCCTCTGGGCGTGGCTAAAATCGCCACAGAAAGCAAGTGGCTGGACTGGTGCGAGTGACGAGACAGCATGTGCTACGTCAAGCTCCTCCTCCCTCCCCCCTGGTTCTCTGACTTTTTCACTGACCATAAGTCATTTTTTAGCATTGCTGCAAATCATTCCCGAAATACTTGAGAGGGATTTGGGAGTGCCAAGCAGTCCCCCTAATTTTTTTTGAACTTCATTTTTTCACTCTTTGCGACCTTCGCAAAGTACTGATTTTGCCCTACGTAGGTACGAGAAAAAATGGAAGCTGCTTCGTTTTCATGAACTATAGCTTTCAACTTTGAATCGACCCTAAAATCAAAGCCATGGTGTTTAAAGGCAAGCTCCGGGCTTAGCCTTACAGAAGCACTCACACCATCTCTCATCTCCCTGCCCACCTTTTGAACTTCTCCGCAGCGTAGAGCAAAAGGCTCGTATTTCCTGTGTATTTCACGATTTTTTTCTTTTTTCTCCACTGGCGGTCCACTTCCTACCCCTACTTTCACATTTGAGTGGAATTACCTCATCAATTTAATCCTGGATTTTGCCTTTGAGACGTGGTTCGAGCAGATCCACACTAGCGAATTATGGGAATCGGGTCTATCGACGGGTAGTTTTTTTTAAGGATGGCTCATTACTTATTGATGTCAATCGGTCCTAGTTCTAGTAAGAAGCGGCTTTGGAAGCAGTTGATCAATTCCCCAACATCGTCAAACCCAGCGAAGCTTTCAAGCCTTCCCAGTTCGCCCACCCTAATCTAGCATAAAATAAAAGATAAAGCATTTGCCGTTGATCAATCCCTTTTGGGATGCGGCACGCATTCTACTTCCATTTGTACATTCGTAGTGGCGTTTGAATGCGATGTGGCCTATACAATGACTTGCGGGGGCCAGCCGATGTACAAGTCAGTGTTTTTTTTATCCTCCCAGACAAGTCTGGTACCAATTAACCGACCCCGGAGGGATGGAAGGCTTGGTTGGCCCGGGCGACTCACGACCCAGGATTTGATCCCGGACCGCTCGCTCGCGTGGTAAGCGCGCCACTTGTCATTACACCACTCCCGCCCAAAAGTTACTATAA